TATTTCTTATGCAATGTCCAATAGGGTGGTGGATACAGATGTAATAGTAGTCTTCAAAAGGGAATTGAACAAATCTTGTCGAAGGAAATATTGCAATGATAGAGGGAAAGAGGGTAGTGGTATATAGGGTATGCCTAAACAAGGTGAGGTACTGACACAGTCTTTGGAATGGTTGCAGGATCATGCATTGGAACAGTAGATAAGGCTGAAATACCTGTAAAATGCATCAGAAATAACAGAGCAAGTTTGGGGTAGCTGTCAGAATAGGCAAAACATTTAAGTTCACATCTGGGCAGTCAACAGAAACGAATGAGTTCACTGTCAGCAGTAACACAACACCAGAGCTAACTATTCATTTCATAGGTTAAAAATCAAAGAAGGCCATTTGTCTGACTAGTATTCTCTTCCAATATTGTTTTCTCAGCCAGCTGTAAGAACCACCAGCTTTTCAAACAAGTGGCAGGTGCGAGTGAAGTTTCATGGAGTTTCATGACAGGGAGTTAAAATGGAGCCCAGATTAAATGCATGCAAGTTTTCACATTTTGCTGGCTGATGTAAACTCATATGGACTAGCTCACTCCAGTTATCAGCCTACACGAGCTGACAACATCAAAGTGCATACATTGACCAACTTACCACAAACATTCCACGTGCAAGGTAAAAAGACCAATTAGGAGGTATTCAAGAAGTGGGCAGACAAGTGGAGTTGAGGATGAGATGAGATCAGGCACGATCGTATTAAACAGTGGTGCATATTTGAGGGGCTGAGTTACCTATTCCTGCTCCTAGTTCTAAAGTAAAATATTGAAAGTACACCGGGTGGATTAATGATGGCTTGGCTCTTTAAATAGTTGCAATACACCTCATGAGTTTTATGCTAAGTACACTGCCAATGTACTTCAAATAGGCTGTAAGTAAGCACAGTTTATACTTTTAAGCCCGACGAACAGAAGTTCATATAAAAGTTAAAGGGAACAATTGAAATGAAGCAACCAGGGGAATGCAACAAAATAGGTCATTATTGAAAGTTCAGGAGGTGAATTCTAAGGAGAACCTGTCACATGAAAGCATCAGGAGTTGTAACTTTTTCCATTTTAAACAGCACCAAACTGGTACTAGTCTTTTATAAAAACCAAAGAACAGTGGAGGCTACAAATCAGAAACAAAATCAGAAATTACTGGAAGAGCTCAGCAGGTCTGGCAGCATCTGTGAAGAGAAATCAGAGGTTAACGTGACCCAGACCTGAAACATTAACTCTGATTTCTTTTCACAGATGCTGCTAGACCAGCTGAGCTTTTTCAGCAATTTCTGTTTTTGTTACTGGTCCTTTAATAGGTAAAAGCACACTGCCTACATTTATTTCCCTGCATTATTATTTTTGGTTGCTGAAATTCTTCACTTGAAATAAAGGCTGATTTGATGGAACACTTTGCTGGTGGCATCTTGAGTTTCATAGTAAATGCGTCATTCAGAGGTAAACCGCAGCAACTTTGTGTATCATGTCATAGATCCCAGAACTTTTACTGAACAACTACCGTATCAGTTACGAAATAAATGGATGGGCACGCACAGGAAATAAAATACAATTCCCCCCAGTCCATCAACAAAAAGACTGACCTTTTAAACCTCCTGGAGCAATGGAAACATCCATCAACAATAGTTATGGATGGCAAATGTCTGAATTTAACATCAGCCTGACATTTGAGAAACACAAATGGCAAGAAAGTTGTTCTGTAACCCATTCCCTTGTTAAACCTGCTAGTTTTGGACATGAGAACTTCACCCTGCACCCACAATATCGGTTTTCCTGTATTATTTCACCACCCCAATCCTCTCCCATGATACCTTTTCCAGATAGGTTTGATTTTTTTTGTGCACAGGCAGGGGTACGGGGAGAGAAAATAAAATGTGTTTCCTGAATTGCATATCTGTTTAATAAAAATACTAAGGGGAGGAAAAAAAAAACGTAGATAATAATATTTAATTCAATTAGATGGAATTGCTTCTTCAAACACTTCAATATTCCAAAAAAATCCTATTTTTGATACAACTCTAAAAATTACAAATACTTGCAATTCATTATAATCCACTTGCCCTCCCCCAATTGCATTTGGTCATGGGGTCTACTAGTGTAATGGTAATTATATAAGGTGAGCAGATTAGAGATGGCTCATGCTTATCACTATGTTCTATTAGATGCCAACAGCTACACTGGTTGGGTACAAAACCAATTGAACCACTTCAACCAGAGTGTGGAACTTTGTGGATTGGGGCCCTGGTGAAACGAGGAAAACAGGAAAAATGTTCAAAGCTATAATGAAAGTAGTTATTGCCGGCAATGTGGAAGTTAATTTGGTTTTGTGAAAAGGAAGCTTTACAAAACCCTGTTTAGACCCCACTTGGAATACTGTGAGCAAATCTGGACACCACACCTTAGGAAGAATATATTCGCCTTGAAGGGAGTAGAATGCAGGTTTATAAGAATGAGAACTGGACTTCAAGGTTTAAATCATGAGGAGAGATTATACAGATTCAGCCTGCTTTCTCTAGAACTTAGAAGGTGTGGGGTGATCTGATCAATGTCTTCAAGATATTAACAGGAAGAGACAATGTGGATAAAGGTAAACTATTTCCACTAGTTGGGGATTCTAGAATTAGGGGGCATAGTCTGAGAATTAGGGCCAGACCATTCAGAAGAGATTTTAGGAAGCATGTCTGCACACAAAGGGTGGTAAATGTTTGGAACTCTCTTCCACAAACAGCTGTTGATATTTATTAAGCAAAAGTGTTAAGCGATATGGCCAATCTCACTGACAGGTAGAACAGCCTCAAGGGGCCGAATGGGAACAGGCTCAAGGAGCTGAATGGCCTACTCCTGTTCCTATAAATCATGTTTGACCAATGTATTAGAGTTCTTTGAGAAAGTAACTGTGGTTAAAGGAAAACCAATGAATGTGCTGTACTTAGATTTCAACAAGTCATTTCATAAAGTAGTACATCAAAGGTTATTGTGGAAAATAAAAGCTCATGGTATAAGAATTAGCATATTATTATGGATAGACAATTGGCTGTCCAACAGGAAGCAGAGAGTAGGCATAAATGGGTCTTCTTCAGGTTGGCAAAATGTAATGAATGGCATGCTACAGGATAGTTTAAAGTTCATAGAAATTACTTGGATGAAGGGACAGTTAGTGTGGCTGCCAAATTTGTTGATGAGACTAAGACAGGGAGGAAAGTAAATGGTGATATCGGCGAGTGGGCCAAGATGAGTACAGTGAGGGAAAGTATGAAAATATCCATTTTGGCAGAAAGAATAAATATGTACATATACATATTATGTGTATATATGCAGAGCTCAAAGATGCAAAGGGAACTGGGTATCCTAGTGCATTAAACAGAAAAAGCAATTATTCAGGTACACCTAAGTAGAAAAGCAAATCCAATGTTATTATTTCTGATCTGAAGGGTCACTGAACCCAAAACATTAATTCTGCTTTCTCTCCACAGATACTGCCAGACCTGCTGAGTTTCTCCAGCAATTTCTGTTTTCGTTGCCAATATTATCACTTATTGTGAGGGGAATTGAAAACAAAAGTAATGAGCTCTCAAGGAGGGTCACTGAATCCGAAACATTAATTCTGCTTTCTCTCTATAGATGCTGCCAGACCTGTTAAGTTTTTCCAGCAACTTTTTCCGTTTTTGTTTCTGATTTCCAGCTTCTGCAATTCTTTCAGTTTTTTACAAAAGTATAGAGGTTATGCATCAGTTATACAGGGCAATGGTGAGACCAATTTGGAATAAAGTCGCCATAGTCCCAGAGGAGCTTAGGACTGCTCTCTCATCAGAGACAGTCAACTGGTGGTGGTTTAACCTGAGGGTCACTGCGCCTCAGGTGAAGGGAAAGATTAAGAAGTAGAGTCCTTCATTGTAACCTCAGCTGGTGCAGGAATCAAACCCACATTGTTGGCATGACTGCATTGTAAACCAGCCGTCCAGCTAACTGAGCTAACCAATACTCCCTGCACATGTCTCTTAAAAGGAGAGACATCTTTTCAGCACCCGCCCTGACAACATGTCCTCAGTAAAATGACATCAAATTCTTTTTGTTGAAAACAATCTAATGTATTTGACTTAAGGAGGGTTCCTCTCAGTTCTAGCCTCTGTTTATAGCTGGTCGACTGGATGTTGCTTTCCTAATACTGTTGAAAATCATGCTGGTCTCAGACCTCAAATCCTTTCCATTGTTCACATGGAGGGATGGTAGAACACAGGATCTGCCACTGAAGTAAGAATTCAGAAGTTCAGTCTAATACTGTGGGACCATGGGTTCAAGCCTCACCATGGCATCTGGTGGAATTTAAAATTCAGTCTGGAATATACAGCCAGTGTCAGTAATGGTGACTACGACAATGATCATTAATCATTGCAAAAATCCATCTGGTTTATTAATATCCTTTAGGAAAGGAAATTTGCTATGCTTAACCTAGTCTGGCACACATGTGACACACAGGAAGGTGGCTGACTCTTGACTGTGCAACGAAATGACCCAGCAAGCTTCAAAGCAATTAGGGACGGGCAAAAAATACTGGCCAGCCCACATCCCATGTAAGAATGAAAAAGCTTGGCTTCTCCAACTTTCCAAGTTGCCAACTTGTGATCTGTCTGCCCATTTTAATTGCTTTAAATTATCTGCATTCACTGATTTGACTGAAAAGCTGGAGGGAGGAAGGAAGACTTTAGGATATTGACCTGACAATCTTCCTAGCCCTCTCATGTTTCCCTCCCACCAAACTAGAAAAATCTCTCCCAAGGTTTGATGTTTTCAATGCTTTTGTGGAGTGCAAATGGAACCACAAAGGTAGAAAAGTGGCTGCATTGTAAACTGGAAACAGTAGCTTTACAACGTCACCATAAAAATGTCATAGATTTTCAACTAAATGCTTCCACATTTTCATATTATGAAAATGGGCAATTAAAACAATCATCAAAATGTCCTTACCTCCAAATCCTGGATGCCATCTAGGATACTCAACCTCTCTGGCACTGATTCAAGATGGTCCAAAGCCATCCGCGTGCTCTAAATTCAAAACAAAGTTAAAACATGTTAAACTCTCTCTCTCTACATAAACCAGTATCAACGTAGTAAGAGTACAAGTGGGTCAAACTCTCTCATTAATAATACACAAGATCAAAATTCTCCTTAATAATAGAGCTCACAAGCCAACTTGTTCATTAGTAACAACACACGAGTCAGTATTCCCCTCCAAAACAGTGCATGGTTCAGTGTTTTCTTTCGTTGACGCTGAAAGGGATGTCAAGTGTTAAACCTTCCACAAGCATTCTGTCTTGTAAAATACACTCGTATTTGTGCAAATTAACATTTGTTTTGCAACACATTTCTGTTTTGAGGAGCAAAGGTGCAAAGCTCTGGTAGGGGACAGGATGGAGGAAGGTTACAGGGATTACATTGCAAATAATTTACACTTGTCTTCCCTCTTCATCTCCCTCCTTTCCAGAAGGTATTGGTTCAGACTGGACAAAGGTACCACGGCCATTCTCTGGTTTCTTACCAATTCTTCAGGTATCAACTCAGGCTACGTGTGCCAGAGGAACATTTAGTAGTGAATCAAGGGTAGATAAGTTAGGAGCAGGAGAAGGGCACTCAGCCCCTTGATCCTACCCCATCATTCAATAATTGCTGGTTTCATGACTCCACATTCGCATCTACCACCGGTAACATTTCTTCCCCTTGCTGATTAAACATTTATCTACTTCTACCTTAAAAATATTCAAAGACTCTGCTTCCACTGTCTGATGAGAAAGAAAGCTCCAAAGACCACAACCTTCTAAATGAAAAAAAGTCTAATCTCTGTTTTAAACAGGTAAACCATTATCTTCAGTGACCCTCCTCCCCAGTACTAGATTCCCCTACAAGAGGAAACTTCTTTTCCCTATCAACCCTCTCAAGTTCCCAATATATTTTAATCAAGTCACCTCTTACTCTTTTGCACTCCAGCCAATACAAGCCTAGCATGTCTAACCTTTAATCATTAAATAATCTGCCCATTCCAGGTATTAGTTGAGTAAACTTTCTCTGAACTGCTTCCAACATGTTCACATATTTCATTAAATAAGGAGATCAGTATTATATACAAATGTCCTGCATATCTAAAGCATAAACTTCTTACTTTTGTACTCAATTTCCTTAACTATAAATAATAACATTCTGTGAGCTTCCAAATTACTTGCTATGCTTGCATATCCAATGCCTCTGCATCTCAGAGTTCTGCAATCTCTTACCTTTTATACAGAATGTTTCTTTCCTGCTTTCAGTCTTCCTCCCCTTTTGAGTAAAGGAGCTACACTCATTATTTCTCAATCTAATGGAACCTGCCCTGAATTTAGAGAATTTTGGAAATTTAAAAACAATGCATCAACTGCCTCACTAATCACTTCTTTTAAGACCCAAGGACTTGTCAGCCCTCAGCTCCAACACATAGTGGGGAGGCAATGGCCTAGTGGTATTATCGCTGGACTGTTAATCCAGACACCCAGGTAATGTCCTGGATTCGAATCCTGCCACGGCAGATGGTGGAATTTGAATCTAATAAATATCTGGAATTAAGAGTCTAATGATGACCATGAAATTACAGATTGTCAGGAAAAACCCATCTGGTTCACTAATGCCCTTTATGGAAGGAAACTGCCATCCTTACCTGGTCTGGCCTACAAGTGACTCCAGACCCACAACATTGCGGTTGACTCTTAACTGCCCTACCACAATTAGGAATGGACAATAAATGCTGGTCTAGCCAGCGACGTCCTTATGATTCATACTCATGAATGAATTAAAAAAAGGATTGCTCAGTACCACTTCCCTGGTGATCGTAATTTGAGCTCCTCCCTTCCACTTCCTGATTAACTGCTATTTCTGGGATATTACTTGTAACCTGATGCAAAACACTTTTTATCTGCCATCTCCTTATTTTCTATTTTTAATTCCCTGGGCTAATTTTCTATACGTCACTCACGTTGTTAACGCATTTCTTTTTAAGACATCTATTGAAACTCTTAATACCTCTTTTTATATTTCTAGCTAGCTTTCCCACATGCTCTGATGTTTCCTTTGTTATTGTTCATTTAGTAATTGTTGCTTTTTTAAAATATATTTTGTCTAATTTTTTGACCTGCCTCCCATCTCTACACAATTATATATTCTTTTTGTTGAGGTTTGACACTACTTTTAAGTCAGTCATCAAATGGAATTTATCTTTCTTGTTAAAATGTATCTATTTTATGTATTCTTGAATATTCCCCAATTATCTGCAACTGCATCTCTACCGACCATGCCATTAACCTAATTTGTGAGCTCGCTTTAGCAGATAAGCAACCTCCACAGCTCCTCTATCCACAACACACACACCTAACCCTCACTCCACCAAATCCTATCCATATGCTGACATTTTCAATCTATGGTCATAGCAGAAAGAAACAGGCAATGAATCTATTTCTCATTAGCTCACATGGACTGATGCACAATTATGTACAGTACAAGTTAACTAACTAATGGACCAAACTCAGGCCTTTCTGACCTGTATCTGCAGAATATGACAAAATGTCTGCAAACTGAATCCCAAATGTCATGAAAACAAAATTTGCTGCTGCTGGTGTGATACTTTGGCCAAAGAATTACAACCAGTTGTGCAATTACAATTTCAAGATTAACATCATCATTGCTCTACACAGAGACTGGCTTTTTAGGTCGTAAATACACCATGTCTAAATACAAACTGGACTTCTAAATTCACAAAACAGAAAAGCTGTTCTTGCCAAGGCAAAGGATGAAAGCTTTACCATGGATCTAATCGCATCGTACCTGACCTCGCTCGATCCTGATAGGGTTTCTGAAACGGAAAGTGTGCCAGCTCTCAGTACTCTGATGAGAACATAAAACCAGGTTAATAAGGCCATAAAAAAAGCTAAAGTAGCAAACAAAGTACTGGCGTTCATTGCTCAAGGGACATAACTGAAAAGCAGTATGTTGAACCTACAAAGAATCCTGTTTAGACAATACTTTGAACACGTCAAGCCTGAAAATTATGTAAAGGATTTAGGGGCACTGGAGAAAATGTGAAAATGACTTACTAGAATGGGACTATAATAAAAGATTACAACCATCAGGAAAGATTGAACAGGCTTAGGCTGTTTTCTCTAGGAAAGTGAAAATTATCGGGTGAACTGAGAGGGTTTTTTTTTTTAACCTCATGGTACATATTTGATAGCCTAGACATAGATATTTCCATTTGCATGCAAGACAGAGCTAGAAGTCATCAAAATAAGGTGTTTATTAATAATTCAGATTAGAATTCAGGAGAAACCTCTTTAATGAAAGAGTAGGTTGAATGTGGAACTCACCACCAACTGAGGTAAGTAGTATGGATGTAGTTTAGGGGAAGGTAAATAAACAGGAGGGAAAGGAGTGAAATAATGTTTAAGGGTTAAATTAAAAACATACGAAATGCTGAGGTGGAGAGTAAACAACTGGCCTGTTTCTGTACTGTAAATACAACCTAGCACAATATATCTAGGTATGTAACATTGAATAAAAAGCTCATTAAACTATTTAACTTAATCAGTTCATTGAACATGTTATGAATCAGAAATTAGTTGAAGAATGTCATGACCATGGATCAGAACTCCTAAGTAACGTAATTCCAAAATATGTTTTTTGAAAAGAGTAGGCTCATATAATCAAAAATGGCTGCTGTTGTAAATTAAGTGAGTTTCTTGAGAGAGGGAGAGACAGCTCTAGACAGATACATAGTTACGTGGAATATCACACCTTTGGAAGCAGAGGGAACTTTAAACAAGAGCCCTTCGAAGGGAGGCAGGGGCAGATAGGCAAGTCAAAACAGACTGCTCTGTGATATCTTGTGATCACAAAGATGATGAAGGGCTGATGACCCCTAGTCAACAGTGTGCCACCCTGTTTGGACTATTTCCCAAACTGCAGACACATCTTGCACTTTTCCCTGTGGACAGGGGTTGAAAAGTCAGTTTGAACTCTACTGGAACATGCTATGCTTCCTCTTGGGGTGGCACAGTGGCTCAGTGGTTCGATTCCACCCTCGGATGACTGTGTGGAGTTTGCATATTATCCCCGTGTCTGCATGGGTTTCCTCCGGGTGCTCTGGTTTCCTCCCACAGTCCAAAGAGGTGTCCATAGTGTTCAGGGATATGTAGATTAGGTGGGTTATGGGGGATGGGTCTAGGTGGGATGCTTTGAGTGTCAGTGTGGACTTGTTGGACCGAAGGGCCTGTTTCCACACTGTAAGGATTCTATGATTCTATGGTTAACATTCTTGTGTATATCAGCTAACTTCAAGCAGTAGCATGTTATGAAGGTCGTATTCAAAGAAATATTCTCTAGTCAGTTTTACAGAAGTGTCGTATCCAACTCAAAATGTTAACTCTGTTTCTCTCTCAACAGACAAGGCCAGACCTGCTGGGTTTCTCCAGCACTTTGTTTTTACCTCCTAGTCACTCTTACATTGTAGGTAAACAATGACTCTCTCTCATTCCAACACTGTAAACCATATAAAAAGAAACAGGACAAAAAAAGGACTCTCTCTCACCCTGAATGCTGAAAATAAATCATGCCTGAAAGAAATCAGAACTGCTCCACTGAAACTGCTATAACGTTCAACTAACTGCTCGCCATGAATATTCAGATAGTGGCCCATACATATATTTATTAAAAACATTTGTCTTTTTGGATTTACCTCTTATTTTTAATCTGTGTGCATGTGTTACCTGTTTTTCTTGCATTTAGTAATTAATAAACTCACTCTTTGTTAACTCAAGAAAGCATGGTTAAATTGGCTCCTTTTAAAATATAAGTTCACGCAGCACGGGAGAAAAGTATCCACAAGGAATGGGATCCTTTCTAAATAAACCTTGTCGCAACCAATCAAGGGGTTAAGTGAATAAAGAAGTGGAGCCAGTTAATTCCTTCTCACCCAAAAGCTTAACAGTTTGGGGCAGAGATAGTGGGAACTGCTGATGCTAGAGAATCTGAGATAATAAGGTGTAGAGCTGGATGAACACAGCAGGCCAAGCAGCATCAGAGGA